TGGCTGTTTTTACTGGAAATGATTGTGGTGATGGCAGTCACCTGTTCCCAGGTTTTCTATTTGGCTCAGACGCAGAGAGAGAGTGTGAGCCGGCAGAGCAGAACCAGTTGTTGTAGTTTCATGTGTCATCGAATAAATCTTAGATCTGGATGTGAATTATTCAGAAAGTACCTCACATCTTATTTTTATGGTGGCTGGCAAGTGCAAAGCAAAATGACAAAGTGTGGAACACTTTTACAAAATTTGAGACAAATTTACATTTTATAAAACAAAATGACAAAACCAAAACACATTTATAAGATGTGAAACACTTTTAGCAGTCCCCTAAACAAATTTATAAATGACAGAATCTCGACGGAAAAGGAATGTACCAAATGCAGGACGTGACCCAGAAGTGATTGAGTGAGGGGTCAATTTGTTTGTTTTGGCAGAGAGACTTGGTGAACAGTGAGACGGAGTTTGTGGTGACAGAAAAGATGTTTTGCCTGTTTTGTAAAACTCATTTGAGTCAGATTACTCAGCTTTTGCTTTTCATGTGGACGCTCTCTCAAACTTATCCAACATCTCGGAGGTCTGCACATAACTCCATCCAGAACTGAGACCTCTAGAAATGAATATTAACTTATGTGTATACATATATTAATAATGTAAAAATTAGAAATTAATTCAAATTTAATTATCTGCAAAGTCTCTCTGCCAAAACAAACAAATTGACCCCTCACTCAATCACTTCTGGGTCACTTCCTGCATTTGGTACATTCCCTTTCCGTCGAGATTCTGTTGTTTGTAAATTTGTTTGGGGACTGCTAAAAGTGTTTCACATCTTATAAATGTGTTTTATAAAATGTAAAATTATTTTTCAAAATGTAAATTTGTCTAAAATTTTGTAAAAGTGTTTCACACTTTGTAATTTTTGCTTTGCACTTCCCAGCCACCGTAGTATTTCCTTCCTTGTTTAGTCCCTTCGGGCGCCTTTATTTTGACGACCTGCTCAGGCCGATATAAACGCATCATTAAGGCTTGTATCACATTCTGTATTTCTTTAATATATGAAGCAATGCTCACTGCATGTGTCTCCGTTAAACAAACAAATCAAATAATAAGTCAGCTGCTTTCACTTTCAATTATTTAAATAACTTTAATGAATTTAATAATAATAATAATTAATAATTTAACTTGCTTTTAATTGTAGGTTTTACAAGAATCGTATCATAAACCATGGGCGATCATTTAAAATGTAAAAATGCATTCAACGCCATTTAAAACCAAATAAAATAAAATAAAACAAAACTCTAGCAGCCAGTGTAGTGTGTGTGTGTGTGTGTGTGTGTGTGTGTGTGTGTGTGTGTGTGTGTGTGTGTGTGTATTTGTACTTCAATGGTTTTGGTTGACCTGTTAATTTTGTCACTTCATTTGGACTCTATGTGGTGATTTAAAGGTCACTGGGGTTAACTGGTCAGGTGGTTTTGTCAGGTGTTTATAGGTCACGTCACGGGTGGACCGGAAGTTAGTGGCATATGTGGCGGGAACACACGGTTCTTACCATAAAAGGAATTATAAAAAACCTCGGCAACAATCATTCTCCATATCATCATCTCGGCTTGTCTGCTTCACATTTTACAATAAACGGACAAAGTCATTTACTTTTGGACCTTTGTTTATTTTATTTTTTGAGGGTAAAGACCTTTCCATCCACCTGATCACGCGCCTAAAGGTAAGATGAGAACATTGGGACGCTGAATAGTTACTATAGAAACAACAGTTTGATTTTATTTTTAAACTATTGTTATCAGCTTTTGGACTTTTTATCTTTTATTTCATTTTCTTTAATTGTAATTTATAGTTTAAACTGATTTTAAGAGCTGCCTCTTAAAGGCACAGTGGTTATTATTATTATTATTATTATTATTATTATTATTATTATTATCAAATAAACAAAACGTAATGTTTAATTTAAAAGAACGTAATAATAAATTATCTATCCTATTCTTTTTCAATCCAACGTGAGATTCGTACAACCCTTCATGATGTTTTTGGGCTTGGAGTTGCATTAAAATCTTTTTGCTCAATGTTTACTCCATCTTAAAAATAAATAGGCCTACAGGCTTCATAGAAATGGAGAAACATTCCTAAAATAAACAAAAAAATCATGAAAATATCATTCTTCAAAATAATTCAATGTTCGTGGCTGAATAATTAAGGAGAAATTTTGGAAGCCAGAAATAGATGAACCGTCTGATCTATCGATTTTTATCTGTAGGCCTATTATTATGATTATGATTATTAATGTAATAATTGTTAAAATAATAATAATAATTATTGTTATTATTATTATTATAAATAATGTAATAATTATTATTTTATTTTTTTTGAAAATCAAATAAAAAAAGATAGTCTATAATTCGATAAATGAAAGTCATCTTAATCATGAATTAAATTAGAACAAATAATTGAGGATCCTTCTACCTGTCGGTTCCATGAGGGCTCTGATACCCAGGATGTTGGTCCAGGTCCGGGGTAGTCCCGCATGCCCTGCTGCGGTAGTCCCGGTGTGAGTCCCTGCTGCCCCCGCATAGGAGGAGTATGAGTAAACGGGTCCGTACTGGACCGGCCCCGGGCCTTGTTTGCCCTCATGCTGCTGAGAAAAGGCCCCGATCTTGTTCCTGAGGATCCGGCTGATGGAGCTCACAGACGGGACGTTGAACTTGTCACACACGCCGTCGACCAGCAGCCGGTCCCGGATCTCCCAGGCGAAGATGCCCGGGTCTCCCTGCTTGTAGTCCCGGATGCTGCGGACCACGGCGGGGGTGGTGACCCGGGGCTTGCTGCCTCCGATGGCTCCGGGCAGGACGGAGCCGGTGTCGTGGTACCGGGCCAGGATCTTGGACACGCAGCCGTGAGACACGCGCAGCTGTCGGCTGACGTCACAGGGCCGCATGCCGAGCTGCGCGAGCTCCACGATCCGCAGCCGGAGCGCGTGAGGCAGCGGGCGGCCGTTAACGAAGAGGCCGCCGAGCTGGTTCACCTCCCCGTAGCTCTGGTTCACCTCCCCGTAGCTCTGCTCTGCACACATAACCCGGGACAAGCGTCAGTACAAAGCTGAACACCAATGTTCAAAGTAGCCTCGTTTATTAATCTTATCATCACATAACCCAAATTTAGGATAATTTGATTTTCTCTGCAAAAAAACCCCAGCAAACTCTGTGCAGCACATCAGGTTCATGCTCTGAACTGAAACTTTGTTAAATTGCATCCTCCCTTTTAAATAAATAAAAGTTTAAATATAAAAAAGTAGATTAGAATGACTAAAAACAAGAATACACTGCGGATCAGTAAGAACAAGACATAAATATCTATAAATAACCTCTAAGGCCTTGAATCTGTTGCTCACTTATTGCCCCTTACAAATCTTTCTGTGTGGAGTAGTGGTGACCTTAAGACGACGATGAATTCAATAGTCGTTCTTTAGTGGTGAAATTTAAGGACTTAAGGACAAATCATGTCGAGAGCAAGAAAACCATGAAAAAGAGAAAAAAGACTATATATATATATATATATATAAATGGCATAAAGGTGCAGGACAAAAACAAGGTTTAAACTGCAGAAAAAAAAGGGGGACGGTCTGCACACTCCAGAAGTTCTTTTGGATTGAAACATTGCCCTTTAATAACGTTGCTCAGTGTGCGGACCCTTCTCACTTTGTTCTGCAAGACAACCATGTTCATTTCTTCTTACAGGGCCGTGCAGCAGCTCAGTCTGTAGGGACTTTGGGTTGGAAAACAAACGGTCGCTGGTTCAAGTCCTGGTGCGGACCAAAATAGGGAAGTTGTTCTGGTTGCTGGGGCACTTCCCGAGTACCCCCGAGATCCCCTTACCCCCAACCGCTGTGGTGCGCTCCCTGTGTAGCAGTGTGTAGCAGCCCCGCTCTGACATCTCTCCACTAATACATGTCCACACTTCCTGTGTGTGTGTGAGTGTAAAACCAGAAACCATCATTTCCCCTCAGGGATTAAAAAAAGTGTTTCTGATTCTGATTTCTGATTCAGCTTTTACAAGATTAAGAAGTGAGAGAGAGAGAGACAGGATCGGTGTTGCAGGTCAGGTCAGGTGAGGTAATCTTGATTTGATTTAACACACAAACGACAGCACGGGACCAAACATGACAAAGTGACTGGAGCGCTAAAGACTTGGAGAATAACCCTGATTAGTAAAATAAAAGAACCCATCAGTAAGATCAAGATGAATACAAACAGGGACGCTGCTCAGCTGCTGCTGTGCAGGCTCAGTCCTCCTGTTGTCTTCCCGACCCGTTCAGTTTATACTTTTCTGACTGTGCAGCAAAAATCCATACTGACTTTTTGACCATGCTGTTACATGATCTCTTCTCTTACTTGAAAGCAAGGTTTTGTCGCTGGTGATGCCTTTCTGTTTTACTCACTTTAGGGTAAACTATTTGTTGTGTTGTTGTTGTTGTTAATAATATAATGACAAGCTCATGCTCTTCAACAATGTTAAAGTACATCGTCCCTTTTAGATTCAACTCATTAAAGGCTTTCTATTCTGTTCTCGTCTTCGGTTATTCTGCTTGAAATGGTTGATAAATAGATTAAAAAGTGGATTTGTCATTAAAGAGGTCGAAGCAAAGCGTAATAAAACACATTTTTTTGTTGACCTCTGACCTGCTGCAGGAGCCTCGTAGTGAATCCAAATCCTTGGGAGTTGCAAATTCTTTTTTATAAAAATAAAATATAAATTCCCCCAGGAAGTTTATCCATCTGTTTCAAAGTCAGGCCTTTTGAGAGATTTGCAGATAAAAAAAGAAAAAAAAAAAACCTTGAAATATTCATCGTAAAACAGAAAGTCAGACTCAAGAAGTCTTTCTTTCCCACCGCCGTCCGACTCCTCAGCAACTGACAGCAGTGTAACAATCACAAACTACCTCATGCTCAGTTTGCACATATTACACTCAGTTTTTGCACAGTTTAAATTTTCTATTTGCACTCTACTGCCTTCAAATTGCCTTATTTATTTTGTATATTTTGTACATTTGTATATATTATTATTGTTTTTATTATTATTATTTTTATTTGGCTGTGTTTAATTTTAATATTTTACTGTTGGCATTCATTGTGGACAGCAAAGAAAGAATTTCATTGTACAGGGAAACATGTTTCCTACTGTGCACATGACAATAAACATCTTGAATCTTGAAAGTTTCCTGATTTTCCTGATTTTTCTGTTTTACGATGAATATTTTCTTTTTTTTGTTGTTGCAGCTTCACAACACCAGCGTGAAGTCTTCTGTGCACGAAGCGGATTGTTTTGGGACATGAGGAGGTTTGTGTTTTTCTCATAAAGGCCCCAATAGAGGCAGCTTTCTTCTGTTCCTTCACGTTTCTAACGGCTGCTGTTTGAGTCTGAAAGGACTCGTCGCTCCCAAAAATAAAAACATGTTTGCAAACAAAAAAAAACAAGGACAACAAAGCAACTTTTCCATAAAGTAAAAAATAATCACAACACAGAGTTAATCCCCCTTTTACACTGACATACACTCTCTCTCTCTTAATTTGTTCTCTCTCTCTCTCTTAATTTGTTCTCTCTCTCTCTCTCTCTCTCTCTAATTTGTTCTCTCTCTCTCTTAATTTGTTTTCTCTCTCTCTCTCTCTCTCTCTCTCTTAATTTGTTTCTCTCTCTCTCTCTCTCTCTTAATTTGTTCTCTCTCTCTCTCTTAATTTGTTCTCTCTCTCTCTCTCTCTCACTCTCTCTTAATTTGTTCTCTCTCTCTCTCTCTCTCTCTCTCTCAGTTCAGTTTTTGTCGGCTCACCCATCAGCTGCCGTCCACAGCGTCTCACCTCTCCGCCATCCAGCACTCAGACTGCAGAGATCTGATCCTCCTCCTCCTCCCTTTCCTCCTCCTCCCTTTCCTCCTACTCCTCCTCCTCCTCTTCCTCCTCCTCCTGGGTGGGAGTCATGTCACTGTTTTCCTGTTTGCAGAGCAGGAGGATCATTTGGTGTCAGCACACAAAAAAACGAGGGCCCCTGAAGGGCTCTTTGGTGAGTACACTGACGTGCACTCTGACCCCTGACCTCCACATGTTCACACTGAACTCGTCTGATGTGACTCCGCCCCTCTACACTCAGCGATACAACACGTCTGAACTGAACATCACTGAGATTGTGTTACGTGTGGTAAGCAAGGCAAGAAGAGACCGATATCAAAGAATAAAAAGGTTAACATTAGGGGTGCCAGTGGCCTAGTGGTTAGTGTGCATGCCCAATGTACGGAGGCTGTAGTCCTCCAATCAGACGGCCTGTTGCTCCTTTTCCCGCCTGTCAAAAAATAGCACGAGAAGCCCAAAAATAATCCTTAAAAAAAAGGATAAGGAGATTTGTCACAGGGGAACCAGAATCAACAGAAAGCTACATACGAGACGATCTTTGGCCTGATCAGTGGGCGTGGCCTGATTCGAGGCTTGTCACAATCATAGACTGTAAATATAACGACAAAGCCTGAGTGACGTCACCCGTCTGTCCCTGCAGGGGGCGCTGGAGTCCCATCGATGGCGGTCTCCATGCTGGAAATGCTGTCTCAGTCTAACTTTCAACCTACGACAGGCTGAGAGCTGGAGCTGAGGAAGCGAGCAGCAATCTCCCGTCTTGAAATATGAAGACAAACATGGAAGTGTAAAATCCTGCAGTTCCTCGAGTGTCCACTAGAGGCTGGCTGCAGGAACACAGGAAGTCACACACACCACATTAAAAAATATGTTTTTACAGAATAAATAAACATGTTTACAACCTGGAACAAAAAATAATATGTCTGATTAGTTAGCACACACTGTGGGGGGGGGGGGGGGAGGAGGAGGAGAGGAGGAGGAGAGAGGAAGAGGAGGAGGAGGAAGAAGAGGAGGAGAAGGAGGAGGAGGGGAGGGGATGAGGAGGAGAGGAGAAAAGGAGGAGGAAGAGGAGGAGGAGAAAAGGAGAAGGAGAGGAGGAGGAGGGGGAGGGGGAGGGGAGGTGGAGAGGAAGAGGAGGAGGAGGAAAGGAGGAGAGGAGGAGGAGGTGGAAAAGGAGAAGGAGGAGGAGAAGGAGGAGGAAGAGGAGGAGGAGGAGGAAGAGGAGGAGGAAGAGGAGGAGGAGGAGGAGGAGGAGGAAGGGAGGAGGAGGAGGAGGAGGAAAGGAGGAGGAGGAGGAGGAGGAGGAGGAGGAGGAGGAGGAGGAGGAGGAGGAGGAGGAAGAGGAGGAGGAGGAGGAGGAGGAGGAGGAAGAGGAGGAGGAAGAGGAGGAGGAAGAGGAGGAGGAGGAGGAGAGGAGGAGGAAGAGGAGGAGGAAGAGGAGGAGGAAGAGGAGGAGGACCTCATTTGAGGTCAGAGCCCTCGTCGTGTAGAATCACTTCTGGATATTTTATGACTTTAACATTATTCATCGTTTGACTTCATATCCATCAACGTGAATATCACGGAGAACCTTCACCTGACTCAGGTGTCATTAGCGGTCCTCAGATAAAGTGACGTCATCATAACAAACTGTTAATAACGAGGTGCAGCTCTATGAGGGGGCAAAAGCTTCACCCTCAGTTTACATTTCTGCACCCTCACCCTCTTTCACCCTGCCCTTAAATGCCAGCTGCACCCTAACGTGTTGTTTTGTTCTAGAACCAGGTCTGCCTGTCTGCCTGTCTGCCTGCCTGTCTGCCTGTCTGCCTGTCTGTCTGCCTGTCTGCCTGTCTGTCTGTCTGCCTGTCTGCCTGTCTGCCTGTCTGCCTGTCTGCCTGTCTGTCTGCCTGTCTGCCTGTCTGCCTGTCTGCCTGTCTGCCTGCCTGTCTGTCTGCCTGTCTGTCTGTCTGTCTGTCTGTCTGCCTGTCTGTCTGACTGTCTGCCTGCCTGCCTGTCTGTCTGCCTGTCTGTCTGTCTGCCTGTCTGTCTGCCTGTCTGCCTGTCTGCCTGCCTGCCTGTCTGCCTGCCTGTCTGCCTGCCTGTCTGTCTGTCTGACTGTCTGCCTGTCTGCCTGTCTGACTGTCTGCCTGTCTGTCTGTCTGTCTGCCTGTCTGCCTGCCTGTCTGCCTGTCTGCCT